TGTAGGGAAGGAGACGCTCTTGGGGCAGGATGCCCTGGGCCCTGGCACATGGCTGGACTGAGGTCCTTGGCTATAGTCCCTTTTTTCCAAGAAGAGTGAGGTGGTTTGTGGGAAGTAGCTGTGGGGGTTATTTATAGAGGTCACAGGAAATCCCCAAAGAGTCAGAGCCTCACCCGGCAGCTGGAGGGGGTCTGCCAATTGCTCCCAACTGATCCTCAGTCATTCCTTCTACCCCTGCCCCCTGGGGGAGGCCACCAAGCCTGGGTAAGTCAGAACTATAGGATCAGGGCTGAAAGAATGAGGGATAGGCTGGGGAGGCCCCCAGGAGGAGCAAGGGCTATACCTAGGGCATCCAGGAGGGCTGCCCGGAGGAGGAATCTCTAGGGCTGGTCCTTGGAGAAAGAAGAATTTATCAGGCAAGAAAAAAGCATTTTAGTCTGAGGGCTAGTACAAATTAAAACTAAAAGAGTCAGTGAGTTTTTAGTCAGAGAACTAAACATTCAGGACAGCTGGAAGCCGGAGCTGCACTGTGAATGGAAGCGGCGGGGACAAGAGAGCCGAGGAAGTGGACTTTGTGCCCAAGGTAATGCGGAGCCACAGAGGGTATGTGAGAAGGAGAGGGACGTGGTCAGATCCCATGATGGAAAGATCCCTTTGGACCAGCATGAGGGCCATCCTGGAGGCGGAGGCTGAGATCTAGGTGTTGGAGGACTGAGCCAGGGCCCTTTTGGGGGGCCGGTTGGAGGGATGAGATCCTGGGATGTTCTAGATGAAAGAGGCCAACTATAAGTTACAGACCTGTGCCCATGTGTCCAGAGAATTTCGAACGATTATTATCGCACCCAATTCTCAGATGAGAAAATGGAGGCTGAGATGGACTGAGCCAAGATTCAAATCCAGGGATGTCTGGCTACAGAAATCTAAACTCACGTCCTGTGGTTGCTGGGACTGGCTGGCGTCAGCGTCCTCTCCAGGACTTCAGGCTGCCCAGGCAATAGGCTCAGGATCAGGGACGTCCCCACTTCCTTGGGGCCTCCAGACTGGCCCGTCTGGGCAGCTTGGCCTGGCTGACCCCCCTGCCCTGGCTTGGCGGGGCCCCAGCCGAGTGTTTCCTGCAGCAGCTGTCTCTCACCCGCGTTTCCGTATCCAGGAAGTATCGCTCCTTTGTCCCTCCAGACTTGCCTGCCCTAAGTGTGTGTTGCCAGCCCTGTCCTCATGACTCATCCCCCTCCCCATCCAGGGTCCCAGGGGATGGGCAGGGAGGGAATCAAGGGCCAGGGTGTGGGGGGGCAAGCTGAGATTCTAGATCACAACTTTTAGATTGTTTTTCCTTCGGTAGCCGTTTGCTTTTTTTTTTCCTGGAGTTTTTACTTTTCAGGGATAAAGCCCCAGGAATAGGATGGCTGAATCGAAGGATCGGTACATCTTTACTTTTATTAAATAGTGCCAAACTAATTTCCAGAAGAGCTATGACAAGATTTTCATTTCTACCTGTCCTGTAGGAAAATGCCCTTTTCTCTACATCTTCACCAGCAGTAGGAATTATGACTTTTTAACTTTTTTTTTCTCACAGTCTTCTGGGTATAATGTAATTTCTCTGTGTTCCTCTAATCCAGGGGTCCCTAACCCCTGGGTTACAGACCAGTACTGGTCTGTGGCCTGTTAGGAACTGAGTCACACGGCAAGAGGTGAGCGGCAGGTGAGCCAGCGAAGCTTCATCTGTATTTGCAGCTGCTCCCCAGTGCTAGCATCACCACCTCAGCTCCACCTCAGATCATCAGGCATTAGATTCTCTTAGGAGCACCAGTCCCTGGTGCTAAAAAGGTTGGAGACCACTGCTCTAATGTACTTCTCATGCCTACCTAAGTTAGTGATCGGGGAGTTGAAGCACTCCCAAACTAGATGCTGGTGCCCTTTCTGACATCCCATCTCACCACAAACAACAAAACAAAACAAACGGCCTGAGACTTTTATGATATTGTTCCTGGAATAATTTTGGCGAGGAGGAGTTCCTGCAATTCATGACAGGCTTTGGTAACCTCAGCAATTGTTGTCAAGACCTGGGGGAATCTTTGCAAATCTAGAAAAATGAAAGCTACAAATGGGTAATCTGCTTTTTAAGAAATTGCCTTGTAAATATCTACTGTTTTAAACAAGAAATAGACAGCAATGCCGTCTCTTGCCACATGGAAATGCCTAGACCTTGGGGGAAGCTGGTGTCCCCCAAAGTTTGTTCTGTATTGAAGGATCTTCTGGCCTAAGGATGTTGCGGGAAGGGTGTTAGGTTCTGCAACTTTGGTCTTTCTAGTCTTTTCTCGCTGAAGGCCAAGAGGTACCTTTTCAAAGCAGAAATCACAACTCTGACGTTTCTGAAGGGGTCAATAATATTTATTTAGTGCCACTAACATAGGGACCACAGGAAGGGCTGCATATCGGGGGAGAGGGAATGAAGGGTCAGTGCTCTTGCTGGCCATGAGGCTGGCCAGTGGGCTACCTTCACCCTTTGATCAGATGCTCCCTGTTGCGAGAGGGGGTCCTGGAAACTCCCAGGGATGAAGGTAAATGTCTTCCTGTTCTCACTTCCCCAGGCCTGAAGCACTGGGAGTGAGGAAGCATCGAGAGATAAGGGAATAGGAGGAGGAGGGCGGCACAGGCGCAGGGGTGCACAGACGGGGCATAGGGTGTGAGGAGTGCTGTGGATGCCTGGGCCCGTGTGCATGGAGGGGTGTAAAACTGGGCGAAGGTTGGGCAGAAGAGTATGAATCACGTTGTCATCGTGTCTGTGTGACAGCATTGCTGTGTCGCTGGGATGTCATCACAGCATCTGTGATGGTGAGGGATTGTGTGGTATAGGTGTGGGTCTGTGAGAGTATTAGGTGGTGTGACAAGCATGGGGCGCAGGCCAAGGGTGCCCACTGTGGTGTGTGTGCAGGAGGTCGCCTGAGTGTGGCCCTGGTTGTGTTCTGTGCTGTGGACGTCTTGTTGCACCAGGTCTGCAGATTGACGAGTCAGGGCCGCCCCTCAGTCCTGCAGGCCGGGAGCCTCCTCAGCCACTAGGGCAGGAAGGAGTTGGAAATACAATAGTCAATCAGAAAGCAGAAGGACAAACCCTGCCAGGCCTGCCTCCTCCTACCCTGGCCCCTTGTTGCTACCAAGGACTCTTGGGCTCCCTCAGGGTTCACCCTCCCTGATAGACTCCTATGTGTTGAACTTTGGGTCAGTGGGACTGAGATGTGTGCTTTCCTCATTATATACAGATCTGAAGTTCGGAGAAGCCACCCCCTGTGCTCCAGGCCTCTGCTGCAGTCTGTCTCACTCTCACTTTTGCTCCCTAAGGCTCTGGGGATCCTGGGAGTTTGCCTCAAAGCCCCTGTCCACCCCCAGTTCCCCATAGATTTATTCCCAGAATGGTTTTTCTCATGAGCCTGCCCCTGCTCACAGTTTTCCATGGCCCCCCAGCGCCCTCAGGACAAAGCCAAGTCCTCTCGATCTGGCATTCAAGGTTCCACCCACTCTGCCCCACCAGACTTTCTCTTCAGGGACTCAAACCCTGCCACAGTCCCCCCAAATTCCAAGAACCATCACTTCGCTTCCGCCCCCACCCCCTGCCTTTGCAGGAGCCATCCTGCTGCTGTCGGGAATGCCCTTCCCCCTCCCTGGCCTGGCATAGGTTCTCCCGAGGGGTCAGGGGTTGGTGCAGAGCACAGAAGCTGTTTCCTGGTCGGGGAGGAGGGGGCCGTGGCCAAGTCCTGCTTCCGCTGGCCCCCTCCCTTCCTTCCCTGGCTCTTCCCTGGGGCCCGAGCCTCACGTTCCTTGGCTGGCTCTGGTCCACCCTCCCCGGCTCCAGCCACTGTCTGACACATGCCTCACCCGCTCCCGTCCGCCAGCCTGCAAAGGAGCGTCACCCCTCACCATTTTTCACAGATGGAGGCTCCTAAGCCCCCATTGCTGGCCTGGACCAGTGCCGTTGCCTTCAAGTTGGTTCCTGGCTCCCACCTTCACCCTCACCCGTGACCAGAGGGTGCCTGTGAACACCTGAGTTGGATCATATCCTTCTCTGCTCACAACCTGCCCAGGACTCCCAAAGTCCTTACTGCAGCCACAAAGCCCTGCTTGATCTGTCCCCATCATCTCGACCTTACCTCTTACTCTCCCTCCGTGATAACTCCATTCCAGCCATACTAGCCTCCTCACTCGTTAGTCATGGTCCTGCCCCAGAGCCTTTGCACTGGCTGTGCTCACTGCCTGGTGCACCCTGCCCAGGAACCCTCTTCCCACCATGGCCTCTCCCTCACCTTCTTTAGTTCTCTGCTCAAATGTCACCTTTTCAGGGAAGCCTGCCCTGGCCCCCTGTGGAAAATTCTAACCTCTTCATACTCCCTCATCTCTTCTCTTGCCCATTGCCCAGGGCCCTATAATGACTCATTCATCTGGTTTATCATCTGTCTCCCCAAAGAGACTGTGAGCCCCCAAAGAGTGGAGGTTTCTGTGCCTTATTCCTGCCTGGGTCCAGAAATATGGGTTGAACGAACAGACATCATAATAGTGATGGCAATGAACTTGAGCAACACTTGCTGTGTGCCTGACTCAGTCAGGGCTGAACTCCCATCTTCAGCCTTCCACATCACCGTCACAACTTTTGCTACCTCCGGCCACATAGCCCCTAAGCCAATATTTACTTAATATTTGTCTTCCTCTCCATTGTGGTTTTTTAAATTAATTAAATTGATCTCCAAAGGACACCTAATCTTACCAAGTAAAGGAAAGCTGGTGCACTTGCCATCAATATAAAACGACTTAAGAATGTGAAATTAAGAAGACAGACCTGTGCTCAAGTCCTGGTGACTCTGGACCCTGGGTCTGCCTGTGCTTTGTGAACGCGAGAGAGGGTGAGTTAGCACCAGCGGAGATTTTCTCGAGGTGCCGAGGAGTAAGAGTGGAAAGGAAATCAGCTGCCGTGGGGCAGCTGATGCTGGACCTCAGACCCGGCCCCTAATTGGGTTCATCTAAAATCTAAAATTTGAATGTTGTGATTCTCTGGCCAGTGATTCGCCCACAGTTGCCCAGTGAGTGGCTGGCCGAGCCAGGATTTAAGCCCCAAGCTGATGGCCCTGGCCTGCTTGGCCCTGGCCCCTTTCTCCGGGGAAGGCTAGTCAAGGCTGGAGCCCAGCGAGCCAGAGGCTGTTCCTGCGACCCTGCAGAGAGAAGCAGGAGGGGCCCAGGCTTAAGTGCACATTGTTTTCTTGGCAGGTCGAGGTCCTTTGGGGTAAACAATGTCAAGAGCTTCCCCGTTCTCATCTGGGACCCAGACAGGTCTGGCTCTGGCCCTGACTTGCTGACGCATGACCCAGGGCTGATCACTTCCTTGGGGCCTCAGTTCCCTCTCTGAGAAATGGGGATAATAATAGAACCTCCTTCCTTGCCATGATGGCTTCAGGCCAAGATGGAAAGAGGAAAACTACTCAGAGCAGGGGCTTCTCCCTATCTTCCTGCTTTCCTCTTTGTGGGCTGCCTGGCACAGCCATCCAGAGCAAGGGGACCAGTTCTGCAAGCGTGTGAGCTCCTGCTGGAAGGAGCATGTAAGAAGAGGTATAGTGGAGATGGAAGTGGATGTGGAGAACCTTGAGGAGTTGGCGAGAGACCTCTGGAAGTCTGACCCAAGGCTTGTGATCAGCACCGAGTCTGAAATGGATCTAAGGGGACGGCAGTCTGGTGGCAAAGCCGTTGAAGGAGGCCACAGGCTTTGTGGTCAGCGGGATCTGACTTAAAATCTCAGCTGTGTCCCTGGGCCTCAGATCCTAACCTGCAAATGAGACTGTCAATCCCCAGGTCCTAGGCCAGTAATGCATTGCTGAACGGGGAGTGTGGCCTCTCCCGAGGAGGGAGCACAGGGTGTTCTTGGGGCGGTAGCCTGAGTCACCTTCCCCATGACGCACAGGGTGCCATTGGATGGATGACCGGGCCCCGGGAGGCGGCGAGGGGGGTCACAGACATTGAGGCATGAACTGGTCATGTGCCAGGCGCCCTGAGGTTCCCTACTGAGGCCCCCGGCCCCTTGCTCCAGCCATTGCTAGACAGCACTTTACAGTTGGCAAAGCATGTCCATGCCCTTCACTTCAGAAGCCCCTATTTTTGTAGAAGTAAAAAGTCAGGCTCACAGGGACAGGGGTGGAACGAGAGGCCGAGGGTCACTCACAGACACTGTTCCTCTTCCTTCCTTTCCTCCTCTCCGGCCACCCTCCCCTGCCCTAGTCTAGGCCACCTGGGCCTTTGCCCTGGCTGCTCATGCTCCTGCAGCACTGTTCCCCTTGTCCTCCCCAGGCTGGCCGGCTCCTGCCCATCCCCCATCTCAAAGGTTCTCTCCTCACCAAGGCCCTCCCTTGCCCGTTTGGAGCCTGATGCCTGGGTTCGTGTCCCAGCTCATCCCTCCCTGGCTGCGTTACCTGGAGCGTCATGCACACCCTCTTCGTGCCTCACTCTTTTCATCTAGAAAGTGGGAATAACAGTAGCCGATAGGTTGTAAGGACTGAATGAGTTAATAGTGCAGAGTGCTTAACACTGTGCCAGGCTCATACTAGCTCCTAACAATTGTAGAATCTTGATCACTCTTCTTATCGTGGTTCTATCATTGTCTCTCTTGCCCACTATTCAGGGAGTTTCATGACTACAACTGCATGTGTTTTGGTCACTGCTGTGTCCCTAGAGCCCAGCAAAGGGCCTAGTAAACAGCAGGCACTCAATTAAGGAAGCAGTAAGTGTGAGACAGGCCTCTCTCCACCCCTAGTCTTGAGACCAAAGCCCTGAAACAACCAACTCGGCGCCTCACCTGGACAGGACTACATTGCCTGCAGGGGGCCGCTGGGACTCCAGGATCCTCCTCTTGAATTCCTCCAGGCCAGCTGGGTCTGCAGAGAGAGGGAGAGGTTAGACTCAACATATTGCCTTAGTAGCCCCTTCCCCTGGGCTAGGGATAGGCTGGCAGCCCGGGATACAAGGCGGGGAAGATCCCCCACCCTTCCTGGGTCTGCCCTGACTCACCAATGGGCGGCGGGTTGGGGACAGGGCTTACAGGTCTTGGTATAGGCATCGGCTGCGACTGTGGAAAGATGGATAGAGGGAGGTTGGCAGAAGCTGGGACCCCTGAACCAGAGTGCCAGGGAGGTTCCTGCCCCTTTATGCCTTTGGAGACCTGGCTCTGTGGTCCTTCCAGGGTGGAGAAGCAGACAGATAACTCATGGGGAAAGATACATGTGGTACTGGAAGTATACTCATCTGTACCCACTGGAGACTGCAGAGACGGGCTTCCCTTGGAAGACCCCAGAGATGTGTGGGGCCAGCCTGCCTCAGACTCTGTTATAGCCTCAGTGCCAATCTGACCCCAATCCATGACCCTCGCTGAGTTCATCCACCCAACCCAGCCCCTCTCCAGACTGAACTGGACCCACTCTGTAAACCACTGGACCTTGATTCTCAATGCCATGCCTCAAACAAAGCTTAGTCAACGCTCCAAACCTGAAATCCAAAACCAGTCTGAACTCAATCACTTAAAATCCGATTCCAACATGAAAATGGAACCTTCCTTAGAATCAAACCCCAACCTAAACCCAATCCCAATGACAAACCCGATCAGACTATAATTTTAGATCTAACTCTGACCCCAACCCCTCCCCTAGACCCAACTGTTATGAAAAATCCACTCCCCTAGCCTCAACCCTGGGCTCCATCACGGCCACCCACAAACACCTTCCCAGGACCACGTTCGACCCCAATTCAAACTTAGACCCCCAGCTTCTACCTGAAACAAACCCCCAATCTAGCCCTATCCAAAGATCAGCATCAGCACAGCTTCTACTCTAGACCCAGCCTTGAACCTAACCCTCATCCAATATATCACCACCCTAACCCAGGGTCCTCTCATCCTTTCCCTCCAATATATCCCAATGCCAGCCCAACTCAACCCCTAACCAGCCACCCTAAACCCAACCCAACCTCAATTCCTAATCCATGGTCAATGCCAATTCCTGCCCCTCCTCATCCCCATGAAATCCTAAATCCACTCTTGGCCCCAAACTTGTAATTATCTCTAGACCACCAGCCACCTGCACCGACCTGAGCCTCAGCTCCTGTTTCAGTGCCTCAATTCAACCCAATCCCAAAGCCACTGACATCCTGGATTCACTTCTCACCCAACACCAGATGCAACAAACACTCTCACCCAACTTTTAACTTTTTCTCACAATCTAAACTCCAAACTTAAGCCCAGTTCTAAGACTCATGAGATGGAACCCTAACGTTAACCCAAACCAACTCTAGACGTCGCAGTCACCAAGAACTGACTGCGACTTAACTAAACGCAAATTCAACGCCCACATCAAGCCTTCCTCTAGACCTGCCTTAACCCTCTCTCTAACCCTCATGTCACTCCCAACTGTAACCCATTGCCCCCCGATTCTTCAACCAACTCCCAACCCTGACACCAACCCTCCATGAATCCCTAATCCTCACCCTAAACCAATTTTGAGGCCCATCCAACTACCCTAAACCCCAACCCTTAACCCTTTCTCAGTGTCATCGTCAACTTCAAACCACTCCAATCCTAATGCCAATGCAATCCTACATGAATATGTAACCATAATACTTAAACCAACTCTAGACTCCACAGCCCACCTATGTGTGACCCCAGGCTCAATTCTAAATCCAACCTCAGTGCTTCAACTTAGCCTGATCCCAAAGCAACTGACATTTTAGATTCACCCCTCAGTCAACTCTGGACCCGACAGCCACCCTCCCTCCGACTCCAATCTTAATCCTACACTCTTCCTCAATGCTGATCCCATCATGAACCTGGCCCCAATCCTAATGTCTCAAGTCCTAACTACCCTTGAATCGACCTCATACTCAAGTTCAATATTACCACCAATTTGGCCTCTAGACCCAACCCCATTGCCACCTAAATCCGGGGCCACCAGCCCACCTTGGCCTTGATGCAGGTGTCCAGGGCTGAGTTGCTGACAGCCAGCTGCATCTTGAGATGCTCAACCTCCCGCTTCTTCTCCTCCAGCTCCTTGGCCAGATTGTCTCGCTCCTTCCGCAGCACGGCCTTCTCCTCCAGCGCTAGCTGGGTCTGCCGGGCGCACTCGGCCTGGAGCTTGGCCTCCCGGGCCTGGGCTTCCTTCTCCGCCTTCTCCTTGGCCTCCTGACTGGCCCGCAGGGCCTGCTCGGCCTCCAGCTTCTGGCGCTGGAGGTCCGAGTTCTCACGGGCCACACGCTCAATGCCAGCCCGCAGGCTCTGGGCCAGCTCCTCCACCTTGGTGTTCATGAGGGTAGGCAGGTGGTCGCAGCTTCTCCGGATGGAGGCCACCTCTGAGCCGAAGGGATGGTATGGGCTGTAGCTCAGAGAATCAAGAGAGCGTGAGATAATGGAGTCCCTCCAGAGGTTGCGCAGTTCTGTCTCGAACTTGGCCTTGTCCAGTGGGAGGCAGAGGGTCTGCACCTTCTGCAGGCGCTCCTCGGCCAGCTGCCGCTCCTGCTGCTGCTGCTCCCGGGCCTTGCCGCACTCGGCCATCTGCTCCTCTACCACCCGCTTGCTCAGCCCCAGACCCTCCTTGTCTTTGGCGCACACTGCCTTCTCCTTAGCCAGCTCCGCCTCTAGCATCTTGGCCTTCTGGTTCGGCAGGAGGATCAAGGCTATAAGTACGGGACAATAGGACCTAGGAGAGTTATGGTGCTGCCAGGGAACCGGGCGGGGAGGCCACCACCCCGGCTCCCTAGTGCCCAGACCACTCACCATTGCAGCTCTTGTTAGTCTCCTTGAGTTGTTCTTGGCACTGTTTCTCACTCAGGATGATGGCAGCCATGTACCTCTGGTTGTTCACATAGACCACCTGCCCAGATGGGACATAGAACAGAACTCGGAGTCTGGCCCCTATGGAGCCCCTTGACCCCTGGCTGCCCAGACCCTCAGGGCTGGGGTCCCAGATCCAGCATCCAGATGGCCTGGGTTAGCCC